TTCCTTATTTAGAAAAACTATCAACCATTATAGGTTTTAGTGATCTCACTTTATTCATTTGGCCTCAGAGGCCATCTTCTGAAATACAGAACGTTGCTGACTGAAATAATGGCACAGAGATTTTTCATTAACAATCCTATTTGATGGGTTTTTCTAAATAAGGAACTTGCAAAATCTTTCACTAATGGATGTAAAAAAAAAAAAAAAAAGAAAGCCCTTAAATATTCGCAGACGTTTGTACTAATAATCACAATCTTAAAGTATTACTGCTGTACATATTGAACACTGAACTAAGCTTCTGTGTACTTGCGGTCTTCATTTACAATGAAAAACTTTGTGGCCATAAATATTCCCAAATTTTATTTTATTTTAATTTTAAAATATGCTTGTTGCTTTTTTTTTAAAAAGTTGTTTTAGACCTTGACTTGCCATACTGAGTACATTTCTTGGAATTATGTTACTCAGTTTATCTACAGACCTTCACACATTACTTTCAAGGGCTTCTGTGTTGATGAAGAGGCCTTGTAAGAGGACAAGAGAGACATTGTACAAATAATTTAAATCCTGGTGTTCTAACCTTCATATAATAGGGATGGGGTGTTATATGAATAGCATATCTCAAGGACCAGTCTGGTAGGAAATACTAATTGTATAGCAACTCCTTTCTTGTTATTAGTTCTTTTAAAGTAGAGTTTCAACTGAAGAGGCTATCTAAGTTTATTTCCCTATAGAGTATGAAAACATTCTTATGTTAAGTAAAATTCAGGGTGATGCTTTTATAAGTTTTCTATAAAGCATGTTTTATTTGGGTATAAATTGTATTGTATACACCAAAGTGTTCATTTAGATAAAAATTGCATGTTTAAAGTGTCTTTCCTGAAACCATTGCTATTCAATCTTCATAGCACTTTATAGAGTGAGAATTGTAATAAAAGGAGCTTTTTATAATACAATGGATATATATTGAAAATTTCATCCAAGTGAAACTAATAATGATTTTGCAGTTGTTATATGTTTTCTAATATATAAAATAAACATGTTGTGTAATTACATAATTAATTTTATAAAGGAATAAATATATAATACATTGATATTTTTATCCTGCCTTTATTATTTTCATAAATAACTCAGAGTGAGAACATACTGAATACATCTTCCTTCTCCTATTGTCCTCAAGACAACAACCCTGTGAAGTGAGTAGAACTGAAAGAGAATGAGTGGTCCAAAGTCACCCAGCCAGTTTTCTTGCCTAAGGCAGGACTAGAACTTCCAGTCTCCTGGTTTCTAGCCTTCTCCATGAGCCACTAGACCAAATACTGTATGCCCACATTTATATTCTTATAGTATTTGTTTATATTCTTTTTTTCTTATGAATAGACAGCCAAATTCACAAATGCTTTGGAAATACCTCCAGAATTTATACAGAAGAATGCTAAGCTACGTGGACAATTGCATCGAATAACTGAGCAAGGATTAGAAATTGAACATGTACCTATTACCCTTCCAATCATTTCCTCTCTGCAGAAAAGATGTAAGTAAGACGAGTAACTTCATAGTGGCCAAGTTAGTTTTTTTTTTTGCAGGTTTGAAACATTTTTAGAGGTTTGAATTTAAGAAATTCTAAACATGAGTGAGTGGCCATCTTTAGAAAACACATATGAAAAGCAACCTATATTTTACCATGTACTTGTATGTTGATTAGAATTCTGCAATATTCAGATTCAAAGTAGGCAAGAATGCTTTGGATGTGATATGAGAATCCTCACTGCCTCTGGAGGTTGCTTTTTAAAGGGACTTCAACTTTTCCCCAAGTTGGCACTTTTTCCTAGCACCTTGGTGTTTAAATTAAGGAGGTGTTACATAATGGGACAGTGGAAGCTCTAACTGTTCCCTAAAACACTAAAACCATTGATAAGAGAGTTGGATGGGAATGAAGATAGACATTTCAGCCATGGGGATGACTTGAGTCAAATGAGACAATGTCTTTCAGCCTGAAATCCCACAATGGCTTTACAAGTAGTTCTTGTTTAGTGACTATCTCACTTAGCAAATGTTTCAACTTATAGTAGTGATGAAAAAGTAACTTTACGACCAGTGCTTGTATTGGCAGATCTGTAAAGCAAAGAAAACCTGAAGAAGATAAGCACGTTCATAATTTTACTTAGTGACCACTTTACTTAATGACCAAATTGCCTGTCCCAATTATGGTCAGTAGATGAGGACTATCTGTAAGAAGATAACATGGGGGCATACTTGATTTGAGTTTTTGGAGGAAAAAAATGAGATAAAAAGGAAGAAAAATTATGTGTTTATTTTAGTAGGTTTTAACCCCTACAGAGGGAATGATTCTTTAGGCCTTTCTAACATGGCTTGACTCTAAACTTCAAGGTGGCTTACATGGAATTTTCTTTCATTTTATCCTTACGACCGTAGCCATGTCAAATTGGTTGGGCTGGGTGAGAGCAATAGGTTCAAAATCACATAAAGAATTCCCATGGCTACGGGCAGACTTCAACTTTGTTCAGTCCTAGTCCAAACACACAACATTAAGCTGCTACGCTACACTGCACTGGCTATCCTTGACTGCTACTGAAGCACCCTATTAGGCTGCATAAGAAAAAGATTAATCACAGACTATGGGTGAGGTTAAAAATAAAATAAAAAAGAACTGGAGGCAGAGATTAAGGTTCAGACTGCTTTGAATGGAGTAGATTAAAGAGTATATTCATAATCTTGGAATATTCTATTCTTTAGCTGTCACTGGAATCACTGGCGGTAGCTGTTGTGAGAAGTGCCTTTGTACAGTTATATGTGGTATGCCAACTACATCCCTTTCCCAGCCTCATCAGTTTTGACAGTGATTATTTATGCCTTAACTACATCCATGTTGGCTACTGCAGTGTAACCCTGTAGAAAATAAGGTAAATGATCTTGACAGAGTTAGGCAAGATCTGCTACCAAAGCAACAAG